AGATTATTCAAAACAAAAGGTAGTTGCATATTACCTCAAACTCTTTTCTTTATGATATATGTCACCATGTCATGACAACCTTGGCTTGGTCTGGGTTTTTGAAAAATGCATCATGCTGTACCTGCAACATAAATATTCATATCAGATTACATTACCTATTTATAGACAGCAATAATATTGAGATATGTTCGAAAAATCAAATAAGATATTTTTTTCAAGTTGTTTGGAGTTTCACTTTACCTACCTGCATGTTGATCTGTTAAATTCAATTATTGTTATACCAACCTTAATCTCACAGCCTAACTACTTTTTCCCATCAGATCTTGATGGCATAACTTATTCACAACAAGAAGTTGATTATGACATAGGAGAGAGTTCAGAAGGAATAAAGTTTTTTATCCCAAAGGTCGATGACGCGCATAAGCCAAATATGAAAGCACAATATGCGACTATAAATGAAGTCAAAAGGATGTACAGGGCTTATGCGGACAACGCCGGCTTTGATATTCGCATGTATGTAAAAAAGACGAACAAGAATGGCGAAATTCAAACTAGGTGGTTTGTATGTAGCAGGGAGGGAAACCCAAAAAAGAAGGATTTTGATTCGTTGTACATGCAGTCGGGTGAGAGGAGATATCGTAATACAAACATCAAACGTTGTGGTTGTAATGCTTGTATAAAAATCCATTTGACAAAGGATAGGGCTTGTTACGAGATATATGAGTTCGTTGAGGCACATAACCATGCATTGTTTAATAATAACGATCGTCATTTCTCTCGGAGAATAGACAGATGAAGTATACAGATTTCAAAACTGTACTAAATAGCTCAAGCTACAAAGTCGGCGCGAGGAGGGCTCACCGTATTCAGGCCGCATTGAGCGATGGATTTGAGCATACTCGCATCTCTGAAATTGACTTCAAGAATTTCAAGAGGGATGTTGTTGCTTGTGTTGCGATAAGGACGCGACGATGTTGATCAATAAACTATCAAACAGACGTGATGTTGTCCCCGGTTTTTTTTTAATACAAATGCAATGAGCAGGAGTTGAGTGTAATTTTCTGGGCGGATGAAGTTGCAAGAATTAACTACAAAGAATTCGGTGATGTCATTTCGTTCGACGGTACCTTTCGCACTAACAAGTAAGATCACCAATTGCAATACAGTTATTTACGTTGATCAGCTTTGATATTTTAACGGACATATGACGTGGCTATGAATAGATACTCATATTTTTTTATTTGTATTCCAGGCATGCAATGATTTTTGTTTCTTTCTTGGCTGTTGACAACCATAAGGCGTCTGTTGTTGTTGGATCCGCTCTTATAAATGGAGAGACGATTGATAACTTTACATGGGTTCTAAATGTCTTTCTAAAGTGTCATGCGAAGCAACCAGTGTTCGTAATTACAGACCAATGTTCTACAATGAAGCAGGCTATTCCGAAGGTGTTCACGGAATCCAAGCATCGACTATGTATGTGGCACATTATGAAGAAGGTCCCTTCAAAGGTAAGTAGTATATATTGAATGTTATCTAATTTAATGCGTTTTTATGTTATCTTTCATATGTCGAAGCTTCGTTGACGCAGGTTAGTGTCGCCCTAAATCATGATCCTACGTTCAATAAAGTCATCAACAAGCTCGTATGGAACATTCATATTGGCCCATCGGAGTTCGAGAGCCGTTGGAATGAGATGATAGATAAATACAATCTAGCTGGGGATACTTGGTTTACAGAGATGTATGAAATCCGACACTCGTGGATTCCTGCCTATTACAAGGACAYGCCGATGTCTGGGCTAATGAAAACAACCTCAAGATCCGAGAGTTCGAATTCGTATATCAACATATACGAATCGTACTGGTTTGATTTGGTGCAATTCCTTAATAATTACGACGTAGCTATAGAGAAACAAAGATACAGACAATTTGTTCACCAAACAGTGACGAGAACGACTAATCCCAAGTTTGTTACTCCATTGCGTTTAGAAAGTCATGCATCAAGCATATACTGTCGGAACGTGTTTTTTGACATCCAAAAGGAAATAAAGAAGGCTGTTTGGTTTTGTGCTATTGAGACCGTCGAATGCCGGGATGATTTCAAGTCGTTCGTGATAAGCCACAAGGCCAAGAAATCAGCTGACAACATCAMGTATCTGRTATCCTATYCCTAACTCTCAACACARWRGATTATAYGATWTTTATTTTTTTCTTGACTGATGTTGTTGGAAACTTCTTTCATGACAGATGGGCCGTAATTACTCAACAAACACAGTCGAATGTGATTGTAACCTATTTACACGTAATGGGTATCTCTGTCGTCACGCGTTCAAGGTACTAATAAATGACGAAGTTGAATGCATTCCGGAAAAATACGTATTACGTCGATGGAAACGAGAGTTAGTTCCAGTACAGATACAGTCCGCAAGAGTTCGTTATGGGGAGGTCAACGCCGAGAAAGAAAAGTCTATAATTGATGTATATTCCAAGATCGACGACATAATAAGCATCGAAAGCAATGATCAATCTATATTAGATAGATTGGGGCGTAACCTCGATAAATTCATGGTTGATATAGAGAAGGAAGTTCCGTACGAAGACCCATCCCAACAAAAGTTGGATGCGATAAGAGATCATCTAGGTGTTTCCATACCTGATGAGGTGGACATTCTACCACCATCTGGAATAAGGAACAAAGGTTGTGAAACTGGCAAGAGGCTGGTAAGTGTATCTGAGAAAATGCAAACTAATTGCAAAAAGGTTAAACGAAAATGTGCAACGTGTGGACAACGTAGTGGTCATGACTCACGTAATTGCCCAGAATTGATAGATTAGTTAGATGGCAAGTATTTAGAATTCTTATCGTTTCGTTCTAATATGTCGGCGTCATCGAAACATATTGTTCATGTGGTTTATTTGTTAAACAGCTTGAACTTGATCTCAGTGTTTTGCTTGAATCAGTAGTTGATGCTATTTGTTAGTGCCATTAGTGTTATTGATACGTTATGTACATTTTATACTGTGTTTTTGTTATATCTTATATGGTTTCATCAACTTTTGGAAGGATCCCTGTCTAAATGAATATACTTAATATATTGAACTACGAAATCATTAAAAGGTATGTGTTCATTATGTCTCTAACATGTAGTGCGCCCACAGAGACAGTATATGAAACCTACATGCAATTCATGATATTACACAAATATATAACATGTTTGTCACTACAAAAATTGAATCTTACTGGAACGATCATTTTACGTAGATAACATAAAAACAGCAGACTACAGAAACACAGTTCACGCTAGAAGGCTATTGGTTTGCATGATGCATATATCACGTTTGATGTTTCATGCATATATCACGATCTATGTAGCATTCATATACTGCTCATAAGGGTCATTATACATCTCATCATATTGTAAGTCAAATCATGATGCAAAGTAATCAAAATGCGTGATTTTGATATACCGATGTTACGAGATAAAAATGCATATATATTTAAATGGTTGTATACAAAAAATAAAGTTCAGAACACACCTGAAACGATGATACAAGTTCAGGTTACGCTAGATAGTATCAACACGTCCATCCACATGTTAAATGACATGGAAACTCACACATACCAGTTGCACTCCCACGCTTCCTCATGAGTTCAACTCGTCCATGTTGAATGGCACAGTACGGTCCACGGAGATAGTGATCAGTTAAAACTGCCACAAGTGGTGGGAATATGTGGGTGTCAGTATATCAATATATACAAAAAGCATGTTTGTGGGAAGAATATAAGTAGTACATTATAGACATCATGTAAAAACGTAATCATATAATATGGTTACTATAACCCATTAAACTCCGGATCAAGGACCGAACAACTGGTTCTTTAAACACCGATCATGGATACTTATCATAAACTCGAACAATATTGTCATGTGCACACATTTCGTTGTTCATTTGAACGTGTTTAGTAAGATCAAGTGTCATATATATCCGTTCACAAACAGATAAGATTTGGTTTCCACAACACACTCACCTCCGGATCAAGGACCAAACACCTGGTTCATTCAAAATCAAACATGGCTGCTTATCTATAAAATGAAACAATATTGGCATGTGGTCATGACATATAGATTATGCACATGTTCACATTCAGACAAATACTACATTAGCAGTATGGTTACTACTGTTGATTCATTTTGTGTGCATACAGCCTTTGTGTTCACACATATAAAATATAAATTTATCATATTCACTTTCAAAAAAACCAGCAGGTTATATCATGTTCATAAACAGTATCCATATTATACGCATAGAAKATACTAAAGCATTAAACAAAAAATTGAGMTATCCATGTGGCAAGACCGAATACAATTGCCATCTACACCTTCCCTCGACCGATTCGTATATTTCCACGTGTCTTCTTGGCATTGTACGATGTTTCCATTGCAATGAAGCGCTCGACGTCATTGATGATGGAAGCCTTACGAATGTTCTCATCACTCAGAAGGATTTTTGCGCAGTATTTAGTCCGGAGATCCTTCAGCTGCCTTTTCTGCTTTGTACTCTCTTTGTAAAGGCTGCAATCCCACTTCCCTCCATCGGCACCAAAATACGTCTCCAGATGTCGCATCATCATTACCCCACAATCAATCGAACTCTCATGGGACTGCCACCGAGTCCTGATTTGCTCCTGATCCATCTCAGCATAAACTTTTYCGGCATCGTGGCCCTCTCTCAGAAGATGAAGTATCATCATATCTTGCTGAATAAATTATCAAGACGACAAAATAACTAAGGAATCATGAGGCATGTAAAATATTAGTACTAACAATGTATACTTACCAAGACGACCGTACTAGCTCCATATATATCTTCAAGGTTGCCATCCCGATCCTTGGAGTCAATGATAGCGATTGAGGGCCGTTTCAAATCAAAGACAACAATGTAGTAGAATGCTTCCTCTACGATCGGGAAGAATACCTGTAATTATAAATACGTAAGATACATGCGACAACTACAATATATTTTTAATTATTGTACGCTAATATTAGAAACGCATGTTATATACGTACCATGTCAACGCTGCGCATACTAATGATCTCCTTGTCATTGTTTGCGAAACTTGATATGTTTTTTTTTTGAAAATCTCGTATCTTTCGTGCACATCCAAAGAAAGGTTCCTCATCATACCATCCATCTGGATACAAAACAAATCCATTAGTTGTTTTGTATATAATGCATGTTCTTTATTCGTAGCGGAAACAGTTGCTTTTTTATTGATTTTACCGAAACATTGGTGTGACAGAAATAGCGTCGCGGAGAGTCATTGCTCYGCAATCTTTCATCTCGGTTTAGCACTGCTGACCACCCGTCTAACACATCTCGACAAACCATGGATTGGGATGCAAGAGATTGCAAYGCTTGCCGTGTTAGTCTTCTWCCACACGGGGATACGAAAACAGGTTCTCTGRGTATTAACAGGTAAACATTACTGAAATCAGCACATACACACTCATATRTTTAGACATATAAGTAAAATGCATGAACTATGAAAATGTAAGGTACAACTTACAGTAACCCTCCGATACCCCTCAAGATCCAATCTTGTAGCCTACGCTCGTCATTTGTTACGTCGAAGGAAACAGTACGTGTGATATAAGGTGACCATAGCTTGAAGCACAACTTCGGATCCCTCTTCGACAAGGTCAGCCTCGGACACTCCTTCATTGCTAGTGTATTCACCGTATCCACAACATCAACTATCTGTTTCCCTGATGGCCTTATCCCCAAATCAAATGTCGGTGGCTCGATTCCTCCACCCAAAGCAATTGCTTTCTCACTGCTTCTCGCTCGTTTACAAATATTACTTGTATTATTCTCAATCTGATCACTATTCCTACTCCGTATGCTACCAACTTGCTGCACCTGCGGCTGTATTGTCTGAATCCCAACTGTTTCCTTTTGAACAGACCGCGTATATCTCCTGTTTTCATTCGACAGATGCATTGTTTTCTCTTTGGATGCCATATCCACCTCCGCAATAACCGTTGGACTAGTCCAGAATTGCGACAGCGACGACAACAAGTCTGGATCCGGTATTGTGGCCAGCTTTGTAGAAGTTACCTCAACAACTGCCCGGTTAGGGACTTGGCACATCGTTGGGGCTGCATGATTCGTACAACGTGTCATTATTTGATCCTCCACCGTTTGTTCCATCTCATTGCCCACGGTTGTTCTTGTATCCCATTTGCTCCCTTTAAACAACGCTGCTAATTGTCGTTTGAAGCTGTCAAAATCTGTATCACCCGGGAATTGTTCAACAAACGCTTCCAGCAGTAAGTCTGCCTCTACTCTTCGAGAGCACAACTCCGCAATCTTTTCACCCATGATCCTCATACATTCCTTAGGAAAAAAAACGTTGAGGAAAACAATAAATGTGAACATCATGTGTACATACACACAACGTATTAAAAAAACACATTACTCATTTTATTAAACAGCCCATCATAATGTAAAACATATTATTACATTTTTTCAGTCGTTGTTCACATAAACACAGCGCCTATGTTTATGTGTTTGTGACCGTTCGATGTACATGTGTGCATAGGTTAGAGCACCTTGACATGACGTTTGCTTCATGTTCACACTGCATCTTTCTTTAGGTTAATAAAGGCATTTTTTATGCTCATATTTTGTATGTCTTAACATATAGTGAAGTGCGAATATGTTCACATGAAATCAGCAGTGTCAACATTCATCAACTCGAGATACAGTATAAGTTGGTACCTTCACACACAACATATGACAAAACACAAAATTCACATTTTAACTCAAAACATCATATTCTAAAAACATCGCATCATATGATAAAACATGGACATATCGACTCATTGGTGGTTCACATGAACACAGTCGAAGAGTAKAAGCATTTCATTAAGAACGATATGGAACAAATATYGTTAGCTCTGAATGTTGATTTCRTATTCATATTATCTACTTAGTCGATACCCAGTCATAAAGTTTATATTTTTATTAGTTTAGTATGCTAATTAACTCCAATATTCAATCTTCTAAAGTAGTGTTATTTGTACTAATTGGATTTGGGTTTTTAATTAGTTGTTGTTGAGCTCAATCGATAAATTAAGTAGCGTATCTAAGTGGGTCACTTGCATCCAGTTAACATAAATAATTTGTTTGACCACTAACTCCCTAAAAAGAAATGATTGTGACTTATCCCTTTACATTCACCCAAACAAGTATTATCATACTTATATAAATTGGTTAAGACATCAAAAAAGGTCTTATAAACTTATTATAACACTTTTATATAGAACACTATATTGGGTGGGGTCTAAATTGAAGTGTTATAAAGAGACTTATCAAGACATCCATAAGTTATTGACATCGTATAAAATTAATTTTATTATAATAATACTCTAATATTTGAAAAAAAAGAACTCATATTTTGGGTTATATAAGAATATTCATATATGAATTGGCTTAAACAATTCAATTATTCAGAGGTATATCTATGTAGATTTTGATATGTGGTAGGGTCATTACATAACTGTATATTGCAAGTACGTCCTTATCTACAAATTTCATTCTCATACACATCAACATTAGAACCTAGTTTTTATATTATCAATACATGGATTATCTTAATTTTGACATAAAAAAGGTGAATCGTGGATTACATAACATATCAGTCAGACAGTCCAAAAACGCGAACCCAACATAAGATGTAATGTGGTACTAGTTGTGTATGGCAGAATCGCGGATACAGAATGACATATATATAGGTTATTATTTCATTTGTATGCAACAATATTTCATTAAGTGTAACATTTTATAAGTTACCTCCTTATTCTTTCGCGCATCTTTTGCTTGTTGTCTTCGACTTGATTCAGCCACAAATTTTTCTACCGTACCACCAACAACATTTGTGTCGCATGCACCATGCCTGACGTTGGGCTTACGTTTC